GCTTACAGGCACTTATAATTACTTCAATTTTTTGAAAAAAAACATGATGCTTATATTCACAAAGCAAAGAATATTAAAAGCATATTCAACTTTTTTCAATTAGTATAATTTTATAGTTTTTTATTATTTATTTATAAAGATGACTAGATTTATTAAAGTAGATGATGTGTTGTGTGTACATGCTAAATTAAAAACAAACAAATAAATGTGCAAGTTTGGGCTACTAAGCCAAGACATTCATGGGCTTTTTTTTGTTATATAAGCTTAGGTGTGCAAGCAGATTTTTTTTTAAAATATTTTTTTAATATTCTAAATTAAAATTTTTTTAAATAAAAAAATTCTAATAATATTTTAAAAAATCATATAATGAAATCATATTTTTCAAATAAGATTATTGGTTTCTAAAGGTAATGTTAAAGGCTTCCATTGATGATAATATATAAACTAATATGCATAGTTGTATAATTATTTTTTTTAGTTTTATATAAAAAATTTGGAAATTAATTATTCCTTCATTTTCATATACAATAGCATAAAAATTATCAAAACAAATTTTTTTTATTTGAACTTGTTTTTTAAGTGATGATAAGTCTTTATTAAAAAAGTCATTCTATTAATAAAAAATATGATATATATATATATATAAGTGATTTTTAGATAGAGAAACTTTTTAAAGTGATTCATAGAAAATCAGTTTGCTTAATGCAGTTATATCTCAATAGTTTTTTGAAGAAGAAAAAACCACGTAGAGTCCCAACTTTTTTATAAAAATAAATTATTTTTATGATGAGATTTTTATATGAATTAAATAAATTAGCTTATATGTATGCATTAATTTTATTAATATAAAATTTTAAAATTGAGTAATAATACTATTTATTTATTGATTGGATTAGAAATTCATAACTTGCTGCAAATAATTAAGTTAGTTGCGGATTAAAAATGTATTTATTTTTGTGTTTAAAAAATACTTTTAAAAATATTTGATATTTTTTTGCTTCAAATGAATTTTTTTATAATTTTGAATAATTTTAATGTGTTTATGTAATAGATAAATTTTAAAAAATTAAAAAATATATATTATTTTAATATATTAAAAAAAAACTTTAAAAAACAATTATTATAATTTCAAACACAAAATTGAGGATCTATAAAAGTTACTCAGAGAAAAGGAATTGTAAAGTGCTCATCACAGGATCAATATCTTTGAATCTCTTTACACACTTTTATCTTCTTGATTTCCCTCATTTTTTTCTCCTGCTTGCATCGGTGGATCTGGTTGGAAGATGGTAGCTTGGTGATTTTGAAACGGGAAGATTAAGACGCCAAAGCATGATTTTTGAGCAGTCCTCTGGTGGGATTCCCTTCAACTCTGTTTCGTCTTCAAGAGCTGCTTGTTTGACAAATTTGATTGAATTCTGTAAAGGGAAAATAACTGTAAGCTTTGTTTTTTTTTTTTTTTTTTTTAAAAAAAGAGGAGAGATAAGCAACCTTTATTAATAAACATTGGCCATATTCTCTTGTTTCGCACTTACCCTACTTCTTTCAAGGACTTCATAAATTGTTAATAAATTAACAAAATTATTGGAGAATTATTCCGCTATAAAAGTTAAGTCACAGTTATAAACTTGAGTAATTCTAAGTATTAATATGTAATTTATAATATTTTTTTAATTATTTTGAATATTTACACATTTAAATAATTTAAAAAATTAAAATTAAAAACAAAAAAAAATTAAATGTACTGTTTAATAAGCTCTTTAAAAATATAATTATAGTTATTTTTTAAATAATTTTTCGTACTTAAATATATATTAATAATATTTTTTATTTTTTAAAATTTTTTTATTGCCAGTATATTAAAATAATTAAAAAATATTAATTTAAAATAAATAAAAAAAATTTAAATATTTTTAAAATATAAAAATAAATAAATAGATAGTACCGGAGGTGGGCCGAATGTCTACTATGACACTATGATTTTCCACAAAAGTAAAGTGATCATTACAATGTTGACAGAATCTCATACTTTTGGAGAACTTTAATGTCCTTACTTAGTGCAGCAACACGGGGGATAATGACCTCGTTACTTTTATTGTGTTCGAAGGTATCTGATCATGATTTCAAAGCTCGGTTTAAGTTCGATAGGTGTGAAGTACCTGTGAGGTTTGTTGGACTGATGAAGGGCGACCCCATCTCTCAGGATCCCAAAGGATCGAACTGTTGAATCCAAAACTTGAAATATGGATTGGAGGCCTTTTATCCGTTTCGTTGTTCATTTTCTTCAGATGCCACCCAATAACCTGCGAAGAATCACATACAGGTCCTTCAATTGTCACTTTGTTTTTGTTTGCTGAGAGTAGAGCCATTGGCCATGTCCCAAACACCCTGCACATTATCCATCAGAAGGAAGTTAGTTCTATGAATAATCAATCAGCTAATACTGGGAATTTGTTAAGAATAACTGCGACTAAACGACCAAAGTCAGGAGGATTGTTAGTGTTCATCGTGTGTGGTGGAATGGAATCCATAGACTCCAACAGTCTGTATCTGTGCCTTGTTTTTTCAAAGCGATTAGTTAACATGCATGTCCACCACCTCTCTTTTCAACAAGTGAAAGCTACATAACTGCACACATGAAGTCCAAGTTGGTTCTCCACAAAGCTTGATCGACAAATCACATAGCCTAACCACCCCATATTGAAAGAGTCAAAAATCAAATGAAGATGTGGGACTCGTAAGATGGATATTGTTTTCTCCCTGACCAATCATGTTTTTCTGTTATAAAAAGCTGTCCGTAAACTTTAAAATCTATACATTTGGTAAGCAATCAAGCTTCAAGTCTCCCATTGAGTTTTGCTTAACAAATACTGAAAGCCTTTTGTTTTCTTGTGTTTTCTTTCTCTGTTCTCATCCTCTTCGTTAAAGTATAGCAGTGGCAATTTAAACTCAATTTGGGAAATAATCATACAAGTAAGACGTAAGTAGAATTAACGTACTCAATTTGTCTAAGCTCGTCGAAGAAGCCAAGATCATAAACATTGGAAAGCCCGGCAAAATGAACAATTCCACTCAGCCTGTGTTGCTCAATGTGCCTTAAAGCAACATTCCTTTGATGATCCAGCTCTGCTTCAGGATCTGTAAAATTCTCCTTGATGACCAAATGCCTATACATGATGCCTGTTTTTCTAAGTATCTCCGATACTTCATCTGAATCTGATTGCCCTGCCACAACAATCCACAATAATGGTGGCGGAACCAACCTGATTGTATTAGCTAACCGCCTCAAAAACACCCCTTGGTACGGATCTTCAGTACTAATTGGCGTAACGATAATTGCCAGTCTTCTTGGTAGTAACTTGGGTCCTGATTCTTCTTCTTTTTCCAAGAATTTTGCAGGTTCAGATTCCTTGGAGCTTGATGGAGTTGGCACAGGACTTTCAGCTATCAAACTTCGGTTAACATTACTAGCATGTGGTTTACTTGCTACCTGCTGGTGCAACATTTCAACAGGTTGCGATTTATTTGATGCAACAACATGACTAGAAAACATTGAAGCCTTGCCCCCTGGAGCGAAACCTGTAAAAAAGCCCATAACAAAACATAAACCAAAATGAACTATAGCTTTCTTCCATAATTGAACTTTCTTCTTTGATCTTTCCAAAGACCCCATCTAGCTAAACCCTTCAAACTGTGATCAAAATCTAAGTTTCTGGGTTTGTTTAGCTTGATATTGATCACCGAGTTTTGGCGGAAAAAAGAAGGGGATTCTTTGGGGGTGGGGGAGTGATGAATGTAGAAGACTAAAATTAATGTACAAGGAGTCGCTTTATATTGAAGGCTATATAATTTTTTTTCATTTTTTTTGTGAAGGTTGAAGCTAACTTATCTATGAAAGGAAGGTACTGGCAAACTCAAAAGGCATGTTTTTTTATATTTTATTTTTGGAACATATTTGACAAGGCATTGCTTCGTTTAGTTATCACTTGAAGTGAAAGAAAACGTAGAAAAGTGTGTGTAGAGGCTAGTGGGAAGGGCTTGAGTTGCTGTCTGCACCAAATAGTTGGTAGGATGCAACCCATCAACTAAAGAAGACCGGGAAAAAACAGTTAATTTTATATTCACCTTTTGTTGAGATTAATTATGTAAACCGTGTATAGAGGGGGGTATCAGATGTTGTCTCTCCCAGGTATTGTCTCCTTATGAGCTGAAGTTGAGCAGCATTGCCCAGCGAGGGTAAAAATGGTTTCTAAAGGCTTGAATGCTCCGGCTTTAGGTATTTATATTTCCATACAGGTAATTCAAAGCATGTGTTCTTATAATCCTTGATTTGGTTCTGAAGTTTTCTTATAGGGGATTTGCAGCCTGGGATTTCCCTTCGTAATTTCTTGGAGGGAGGGAGGGAGGGAGGATCAAAATACCGAAAACAGAGAGACCTTTGAGAGAGAGAGTTGACTCGAACAACATGAAATGGATTATACTATTAATAGCAATTTGTTACTTGTTCCAAATGATGATGATGGGTAAGTTGTCCGTCTCTAATTATTCTTCTCCGCTCCAATAACAATCATTTGATCACGACAACATTTCCAGTAAAAACTGCTACCGTAGCTTCTTCGTCTTCACGTCAATGGTAGGCAGCTTCCGTGATGCAACGAGGGATGTTATGGTTTCAACATCTTGAGCGGCACACATAAAAGCTTCCACCCATCTAATTTCGGACAGCAGAATAGCAAGAACACCAAAGCAAGTTCCTTTAGGCTCCTTAACCCTAAGGCACATGGTCCACGCAACTACAATAATGCATGTCCATTCCTTTGAAAGTTGAAACAGGGAGTCTTCATCTTGTACAAGGATGGGAAAGCATCGCTTCCAGTTGAAGCTTTAGTTTTTGTTACAGCATCGGGAACGTTATTTTCTCATCTAAATCAATGGCAAAGGCCAGAGCCAAGCCAGAAAACTGGCAAGACCAACAATTATACAAACATTGAAGACTGAGATGATGCAGGTAAAGATAACTGGATACCAGAGAACTTAAATTTACGAAGAAGTCCCAAACAACCAAAAACATAACAAGCTCGGCTTGTAAAATTCCAAAACACGCATAAACTGTAAAGATAAATTGTAAACTGTTCTCAAAACTTGAAGAGAAGTGAAAATAAAATCAAACAAGCAGAAAGGAAGTCATAAGCTAGCCTAAACTGTAACCAAGCAAACACTTCACTTTTTCTTTACTGCAGACTTGGTGACCTTGGCACCAGATGGATCCTTCTTCTCAACACTCTTAATGACACCAACGGCCACGGTCTGACGCATGTCCCTCACTGCAAAACGACCAAGAGGAGGATAGGCAGAAAAGGTCTCAACAACCATAGGCTTGGTGGGAATCATCTTCACAAACCCAGCATCACCATTCTTCAAGAACTTGGGCTCCTTCTCGAGCTCTTTGCCAGATCGCCTGTCAATCTTGGTCAAAATCTCAGCAAACTTGACAGCAATGTGGCAGGTGTGACAGTCAAGGACAGGGGCATATCCATTCCCAATTTGACCAGGGTGGTTCATGATGATGACCTGAGAGGTGAAGTTGGCAGCCTCCTTGGCAGGATCATCCTTAGAGTTGGAAGCAACAAAACCACGTTTGAGATCCTTGACAGCAACGTTCTTAACATTGAAACCAACATTGTCACCTGGAAGGGCCTCCTGAAGAGCTTCATGGTGCATCTCAACAGATTTAACTTCAGTGGTCAGTCCAGTGGGGCCGAAGGTCACGACCATACCAGGCTTCAGGATACCAGTCTCAACACGTCCCACAGGTACAGTTCCAATACCACCAATCTTGTAGACATCCTGAAGTGGAAGACGGAGAGGCTTGTCTGTGGGTCTCTTGGGCTCACTGATCTGGTCAAGAGCATCAAGGAGGGTGGGGCCCTTGTACCAGTCAAGGTTGGTGGACCTCTCGATCATGTTATCACCCTCAAAACCAGATATGGGGACAAATGGGATCTTCTCAGGGTTGTAACCAACCTTCTTCAGGTAGGAAGAAACTTCCTTCACGATTTCATCGAACCTGGCCTTGGAGTATTTCGGGGTGGTGGCATCCATCTACAAGCAACAGCCAACATATGAAATGCAACTCTTAGTCAGGTGTTTAGAAATTTTAAACAGTACAAGTCAAAGTATTCATGACATGTAAAAACCAACTGCAAAAATTAGTACAAGATAATTTAACCTTGTTGCAACAGCAAATCATCTGCTTCACACCAAGGGTGAAGGCAAGCAAGGCATGTTCACGGGTCTGGCCATCCTTGGAGATACCAGCTTCAAAACCACCAGTGGTGGAATCAATAATTAGGACAGCACAGTCAGCCTGTGAGGTACCTGTGATCATATTCTTGATAAAGTCACGATGACCAGGGGCATCAATGACAGTGCAGTAGTACTTAGTTGTCTCAAACTTCCAGAGGGCAATGTCAATTGTGATACCACGCTCACGCTCAGCCTTAAGCTTGTCCAAAACCCAGGCATACTTGAATGACCTTTTGTTCATCTCAGCAGCTTCCTTCTCAAACCTCTCAATCACACGCTTGTCAATACCTCCAAGCTTGTAGATCAAATGACCAGTAGTGGTTGACTTGCCAGAGTCAACATGACCAATGACCACAATGTTAATGTGTGTCTTCTCCTTGCCCATGATGAAATTTGGGAGCGAAACTGGAATTGATAAAGTAAAAAAGACTTAATAAATTCATAAACATATTGAATGGACAGAAAAACATAAAAAAGTAACATTTCCAATAATACTAATTAACCAGTCTTATACTTTAATTTCAAGTGACCATAATTTCAACAACAGTAAAGACATGCATATGACACGTTCTTAAAAATAGCATTTCATGAACAAAAGACAGAACCAAATAGTCATTCGTATATAACAAGTTAAAACCACAGCTTATACATGTGTCTGAATAAACCAGCAAACCTTTGATACAACAATAAGCCTAGATCCGCTTATTATTTTATCAAATATAATTTCAGAGGTGTGACTGCTGGGATTCGAGCCCAGGTCTCCACGCAACAAAGGCATGGAATTTACCATTAAAGTACAGTCACTACAGAGTCAAATAAAACATTTTCCCATCAGATTCAGGCACTTTCATCAAAACAAACATGACCACATTTTATCAAGGTTCAGTTTGCTTCTTCCTTGTTTCCGATGGGAAAAAAGAAAACACAGCTTAATAAAAAAGGATAGTTTCAAATTAAGATCTTTAAATAAAAAAACTAAAAGCAACTGATTTTCAGGATAGGAAAAAATCCGATTATATTCATAGCAGAACAGTAAACAGTTTAAGAAAAGAAAAACTAATTCAGAGTCTGAATTATTTTTCTTATGTGATTTCAATCAAAATCAACAAAAACTGAGTCATTAGATCTGAAATGAAACACGATCAGTAGCATGAAGCAAAGCAGATAAACAAATAAGAAGAAAAGCTTATAAAAGATGACATCACAATTATAAAAGCTAAAAGCTAGAAAAGAAAAGAGAATAACATAAGATCCGACAAGTAAACATAACATAATACTAAAGGGGGGGAGAGAGACGAGATCAAACCTTGAAGAATGGAAGTTTAGGGAATCTAAAAAATAAGGAGCTCTCTCGCAGTTACAGAGAGCAAACGAAAGAGAACGAGAAAAGCCGCTTATGCTTGTTTAAATAGTGACACTCACTAAGCAATTTGGTCTTACATTAGGGTTTCTCTATCGGCCGTTGGATGGTTTTTAAACTAATGGTCCCAGATAACCATGTAGCAGCATAGAATAAAGTTTCTCTATCGGCCGTTGGATTGTTTTTAAACTAATGGTCCAAGATAACCACGTAGCAGCCATTATTAATAGAATGCGCTTGTGCTGTTTATCACGCTTTTAGGTCATGTCGGTTTCATTATTGTTTGTGCCCTTTTCATCTGTGAAGTTCCTTTCTTACCCTCCTTCATCCACTCACGCGTAATCTTCCCGCAAATCCCAATTTGGCCCTACATTAGTGATAATCATGGTAACTGCATCCCTAATTGATGCAATTCTGATGGTGTTAGCGCTAAATTTAAGCTTTCATCTTCTTGAGTCATCCTAGCAGATAGCTTCTACGATTCACATCAAAGTTTTCGATTAGCCTGTTTGTCCACTCTAGCCATGTCTTCCGATTTTTGCTTTGGATCAAAATTCATGGCTTTTGTTCTGATTGCTGTAGGGTTTGTGATTTGGTTAGGCATATTTAAGAGTATTGTAAATGTTATTTTTTAAAATATTTTTTATTTAAAATTATGTTTTATTTATTTATTGTATAACAGCATCAAAATAATCTAAAAATATATAAAAAAATAATTTAAAACTAAAAAAATTTAAAAGTATAATTCACTGCGATGCCAAATAGAACTCAGCTAGACTCACCGTTTGCTGGAATGGCTTTCAACAGCTAATCCTGTTCACGATTCGATGTTATAAACATCTACGCACGCAGTAATGATTCAAGACAACACTTGTGGGAATATTTCTTTGCACTATGGGTGCATAGATGGTAGAGAGCCAAGCCTGCAGCTTTAGGAATGCCGCCCATTGGACAGTCGCATGAAAAATAGGATAACAACACGACGGCAAATCTTATTTTTTTAAGTGGGTAGCTAGATATTATATATATATATTGAAAAAAGAAACTTAATTCTGCTCTTAATACCCCAAAACTACCCCTTTTGTGACATACACAATTTGTTTAACAAAATTCAGTTTGGCCTTCTTTAATTTTTAACTCATATTAAAAATTCTAAAACTGCCAATTAAACGAGGTGAACGCTATTTGAAATTTAATATTTTTAATTTTATCATTTTCCAGTTTAAACTTTAGGTTAATTGATAAAATTATTCAGCAAAAATCCAGCATTACATTTCTTCGGTTTTCAAATTAAACGCGGTCCATCCCATTTGAAATTTAACATTTTTAACCACAATTTTTATGAAAAAAATATATTTTAAATTTCATCATTTATTAGTGCAAACTTCAGCTAAAAATCAATCAATAAAAATAAAAATAGATTACAGTGACTTGTTTTTTTTATGAAAATTTACCCATTCAAGTCAGCTATATTTGCTAACATCATGGCAACATTATATAATATTTTAAGTCAACTAAACTAATAATTTTAAATCCTTCGTATTATAATTTTAAAATTTAATCCAACCTAACATGTTAATTTAGAATCCAATTAATCCAAGACTGAAATCGAGCCAGATTGAAAAAAACTAGTATGACTCAACTGACTTGATTACTCTATAAAACACGTTCAAAATCCAATTGCAACCCGGTGATAATTTTTTACTAAAATAACATCATTTTAATTTTAAAAAATTAACTAGTTAACTCGATCAAAATCAAAAACCCAAATCTTCAATCATGTCGGCTACAAGACTGGGTCTGAAAACTATGATTTAAATAGAATTGGACAAAATTTTTGCCTATGTAAAGGGTGGATTTCCTTGTACAATTAATCTATCATCAACTTTTTAAAAGTTTCACTTCATACATTCAAACATAAATTGTTCATCAATTTTGATCATTACAACTCGTCCATATACAAGATTTATTCAATTTCCATGATGGACAAATGATGGGTCCTTCCCTTTTTAATTAATAATGTTGACATCTTGTTATCTAGTAATTACCTATACCACCACAATTCTATGCAATCTTCGTAACAATTTCATCGAATTCCCAACTCCCCTTGATTTCCACCTTTGACAGAAATTCATCTCATGGTGGGAGATGAATTTTTCTTCTACCATTTTTTCAAACACAATTTCATCAATTTAAACAATCATTCAATCAATTTCAAATTTCCATCGTGCATATTTTAACTAAAATGTATCATTTCACAAGATAAACTCAAACCAAGCTTGAATTAAAATTTCTCACCTCTTAAACACAAGAAGTTTGAAGGAAAAAGATGTTAAAAACAAGTTTTCTTCTTCCTCTAATTCTCTCCTCCCAACCCGTCACTTTATGCTCTCCAAAACTCTTAAGAAATCTTCAATTATTAGTTCAAATTCCTCCTAAACCCCTCTTTTGATCCCGTACTCACTCTTATCTACTGTTTAAATGGATGAATTTAAAGTGTAAATCAAGTAAAGATCAACAAACCTTCCCCATTCTAAACAATGAATGGTTTCGGGAGAAGCCATTCACAGTTTACAAGATTTCCTCTTTCAGATGATTATTTTACCTGATCAGAAAACTTACATGATTTATTGCTATTTAATATTTATTTTTTTATCTCATCCGACATTTAAATTAATCATCTAGGAATGTTCATTCTGATTCACATAACTTTTCTGATTAATTTATCATTTTTCAATCGAAAATTTACCATTTCTAACACTGATTTACCAGTTTTAGATTGGGGGTTTACCAAATTACTTATCAAATAATCCAAAAATAAGAAAATAATAAGTTCGCAATCATCCCAAATCCATTAAGCAAAACGTTAATGTACTGATTTAAGGAGCATAAACACACAAGACATGGAAACACAAGACATGGAAATATCAAGGAAATGCAAATTTGTAAAGTTCCAAAAACATGAACATTGAATTTCTCCATGGTAAATGGCAAAATAGTAGGACCATAGTATTAGATTTGGTTTAGTTTTTGATGAGCTCTTTTTTGTTTTTTAACTTCCTCTAGTCTTTCTGAAGAGTAACTACATGGCAAAAGTAAATGTACAACTTCACAAGATTTTCTTCACATTATAATGCACAACTTCATGACATTATATTCAAAGTTACAAAATAAATATTTGGGACAGCCACAACAAACTGTAGAGGATAACATCCAGCGCACAATTTAAGCTTTATATAATAAACCCAAATACCAATAAATAAATAAATATTAGCAGTAATCAACAAAAGCTTTGTAAAAACTCAAATTGAAGCGTACCGGAATGAGCAATTGCAAGCTATTTGATGATGCTAATCATTGTACAAGCACTTGAAGGGCATCGCTTTTAACCAGCATGCTAGTAGCCACTTTAAACTCAGATAAATTTTCTAAAATAATATGTTAGAATGCTGATATGCAAACCCGACAAGACAAAAGATAAGGGATAAGTTAAAATGAGAAATGACACACAAGAATTTACGTGGTTCACCCAAATTGGCTACGTCCACGGGCAAGTATAGAAGGATTTTACTAAGTAATGTGGGAATACAACTTCTCTCTAATAATAGGAGAACAACAAAAATCTTTCTATTATTAGGAGAAAACACCTCACTTATTATCTCACAAATACCTCACAATTTTATGGGATTACTCTCTTCTCACCCTCTCTTCTTTCTCTCTTGTGGTGTGTATAATGCTTGGATGCATTGCCTATTTATAGGCAAACATTCATGCAAAAGTCAAGGGCAAGGTAGGTGACACCAAATTTATGCCTAACATTGTTGACAAAACATTGTTGACTTTGTCAACAATGTTAGGGTGATTTCACATTCTCCCACTTGAAGACTTTGATGATTTAATCAAGTCTTCACACTTGATCATTTGTTCTTCTTCTATCCTTTCTATACTTGCTATCTTCATGCTGCTTACGTTTCTGATAGGCCATAAGAGGATCTGCACCATATATACTTATCAATGTTAACCGGTTTGGTTAAAGCATCTGCTGGGTTTTTCTTTGTGTGAATCTTCTGAAAATCCACACTTCCATCGTCCACCACTTCGCGAACAAAGTGATACTGAACATCTATGTGTTTTGTTCTTGAATGAAACGCTGGATTCCTTGCAATATGCAAGGCACTTTGACTATCACAATACAAAAGAATATTCTCTTGTTTGTGCCCGAGCTCCTCCATAAGTTTCTTCATCCATATTGCTTCTTTACAAGCTTGTGTAGCTGCCATGTACTCAGCTTCTGTTGTGGATAACGCTACAACAGTCTGAAGTTTAGAAACCCAGCTCACAGCTCCTCCTGCAAAATCATAGCCTGTAGTGGACTTCCTTTTCTCAAGGTCACCAGCAAAAATTCTGATCCTCCATAACATAATGCAACATCTGAGGTACCCTTGATGTATCTCAAGATTCTCTTAATAATATTCCAATGCTCTCTACCAGGATTTGCCATGTATCGACTAACTGCTCCCACTGCTTGTGCAATGTCTGGTTTTGTACATATCATGGCAAACATTAAACTTCCCACTGCTTGTGCAAGATCCGGTCCTGTACATATGTGAGGTGTTTTCTCCTAATAATAGAGAGATTTTTGTTGTTCTCCTATTATTAGAGAGAAGTTGTATTCCCACATTACTTAGTAAAATTCTTTTATACTTGCCCGTGGACGTAGCCAACTTGGGTGAACCACGTAAATTCTTGTGTGTCATTTCTCATTTTAACTTATCCCTTACCTTTTGTCTTGTCGGGTTTGCATGCCAGCATCCTAATAGTGGTATCAGAGCCTCCTGGTTGGTGTTGTTAATACACAAAGTTATTCGTGTATACGGTACTATTCACGTATACGGCACTATTCACCCATACGGTACTGTTCACATACGTTACTGTTGGCGTATATAGAAAGTCAGTGCGGTGATTAAATACAGTCTAGGAAGTTTTGTCTAAGGAGATTGGGTTTTAAACGGGACCGTTTGTGACCTCTCCAATCTTTCCTAGGAACTTACTTAGTGAAGTATTATTCACACGATACTATTTCTATATACGTTACAGATTTGTGAAACGGTGATAGCTGAATAGATCTTGGTGAATACAATGGCAGCAAAGTACGAGATTGAGAGGTTTAATGGGAGCAATTTCTCACTGTGGAAAATGAGAATCAAGGCAATCTTAAGGAAAGACAATTGCTTGGCAACAATTGGGGATCGGCCCACGGAGATCACTGATGATGCAAAATGGAATGAGATGGATGGCAATGTTATAGCTAACATACATTTAGCATTAACCGATGAAGTATTATCAAGTATGGTAGAGAAGAAAACAGCTAAGGAGATATGGGAGACTCTAACAAAGCTATACGAGTCCAAGTCTTTGCACAATAAGATTTTCTTAAAGCGGAGACTTTATACCCTTCGAATGGCAGAAACCACATCGGTGACTGACCATATCAACACAATAAGAACTCTATTTTCACAACTCACTACATTGGGTCAGCAAATAGAGGAAAATAAACGTGCAAAGCTTCTACTTCAAAGTCTTCCTGATTCGTATGATCAGCTCATTATCAACTTGACAAATAATATCCTCTCAGATTATCTAGTCTTCGATGATGTTGCAGCTGCTATCTTGGAAGAAGAAAATAGGCGCAAAAACAAAGGAGACAGAAACAGTTCAAACCAAGCAGAGGCGTTGTTGGTGTCAAGAGGAAGATCAACGGAACGTGGCTCTAGTGGGAGTCAAAGGCAAGGGAGGTCCAAATCAAGAAGTAAGAACGTTGTGAAATGCTACAACTGTGGCAAAAAAGGGCACTTCAAAAAGGATTGCTGGTTTAAAAAGGGTATAGAGAATACTGCAGAGTCATCAAAATCTCAAGGATGTGTTGCAAGCATCTCAGAAGATGGAGAGGTTTTATATAGTGAAGCAGCGACAATCTCTACAGATAAAGAAGAGCTCACTGAGGTCTAGCTAATGGATTCAGGAGCAACATGGCATATGACTCCTAATCGAGATTGGTTCCATACATATAAACCTATCTTTGGAGGCAAAGTGTTCATGGGTGATAATCATGCTTTAGAGATTGTTGGCATTGGCACCATCAAATTGAAGATGTATGATGGCTTAATTCGTACTATTTCAGAAATGCGACATGTGAAAGACTTAAAGAAGAATCTTTTGTCCATAGGACAATTTAATAGTCTTGGCTGTAAGATCCGAACAAACAATGGAATTATGAAAATCATCAAAGGAGCGTTGGTGGTTTTAAAGGCAAGAAAGACAGTTGCAAATGTATTTGCATTAATGGGAGAAACACATCATGAGACAGAAGCGTCAATCGCATCAGCCAGTCCTGCAGAAGAGAAGACGATGATTTGGCATTAAAAACTAGGTCACATGTCAAAAAAAGGTTTAAATGTTCTCTCTAATCAAAAGTTACTCCTTGGGCTTACAAAGGTTACTTTACCTTTTTATGAGCATTGTGTTACAAGTAAACAACACAGGTTGAAGTTTGGCACATCAACAACTAAGAGCAAATGCATCTTAAACTTGATTCATTCTGATGTATGGCAAGCACTGGTTGTATCCTTGGGAGGAGCAAGATACTTTGTATCATTCATAGATGACTTCTCCAGGAGATGTTGGGTGTATCCAATTAGAAGGAAGGCAGATGTGCTTACAGTCTTTAAAACTTTCAAAGCGCGGGTGGAACTTGAATTTGAAAAGAAGATCAAGTGTTTGAGGACTGACAATGAAGGAGAATATACTAGTGATGAATTTGATAACTTCTGTCAACATGAAGGTATCAAAAGGCAGTTCATAACGGCATACACTCCACAACAAAATGGAGTGGCAGAGCGGATGAACAGAACTCTATTAGAAAGAACAAGAGCAATGTTGAAGGTTACAGGTCTAGGAAAGTCATTCTGGGCAGAAGCAGTCAATACCGCCTGTTATGTGATAAATCGATCTCCATCAACCGCAATTGAGTTGAAGACACCGATGGAGATGTGGACTGGAAAACCAGCTGATTATTCTCGATTGCATATATTTGGAAGTCCTGTGTACGTGATGTACAATACACAAGAAGTTAGCAAGCTAGATTCAAAATCCAGAAAATGTGTATTCTTGGGATATGCTGATGGAGTGAAGGGGTATCGCTTGTGGGATCTCACTGCCCACAAGGTAGTTATCAGCAGAGATGTCATATTTGCAGAAGGTAAAATGCAAATGGAAGAACATAATAGCATTCTAAAGGAGACTACAGCAGTCCATGTGAAAAATACTCAGAATCATGCTTCTTTTGAAGTTGTACCAGAGCATGAAGAGCAAGGACAAATAGAGTCTGAAACTCCTGAAGTTTGGCGGTCGACTCGTGAAAGAAGACCACCGGCTTGGCATTTAGAATATGTTACTGAAAGTAACATTGCATACTGTCTTCTAACAGAGGATGGAGAGCCATCAACTTTCCATGAGGCTATCAAAAGCACAAATGTATCTATGTGGATGACAGCAATGCAAGAGGAGATTGAAGCTCTGCACAAGAATAATACTTGGGATCTTGTTCCACTACCACAAGGAAGAAAGGTCATTGGCAACAAATGGGTTTACAAGATAAAACGTGATGGCAATGATCAAGTGGAGCGGTATCGTGCAAGATTGGTGGTGAAAGGATATGCTCAGAAAGAAGAAATAGACTTCAATGAGATATTTTCTCCGGTGGTACGACTTACGACAATCAGAGTAGTCTTGGCAATGTGTGCTACATTTGATCTTCACTTAGAGCAGTTAGACGTGAAAACTGCATTTCTTCATGGAGAACTTGAAGAAGAAATTTATATGCTCCAACCAGAGGGTTTTGCTGAAACAGGCAAGGAGAACTTGGTTTGTAGGTTGAACAAATCTCTATACGGTCTCAAACAGGTGCCGAGGTGTTAGTATAAGAGATTTGATTCCTTCATAATTAGTCTTGGGTACAACAAACTCAATTCAGACCATTGTACGCATTACAAGAGGTTTGAAGAAGATTTTATCATTTTGTTGTTGTACGTGGATGACATGTTGGTGATAGGCCCCAACAAAGATCGAGTCCAAGAATTGAAGGCACAGTTGGCTAGGGAGTTTGATATGAAGGACTTGGGACCAGCAAATAAGATTCTAGAGATGCAAATTTACCGAGACAGAAGTAAGAGGAAGATTTGGCTTTCTCAGAAGAATTATTTGAAGAAAATCTTGCGACGCTTCAACATGCAAGATTGTAAGCCAATTTCCACCCCATTTCCTATTAACTTCAAATTATCCTCAAGTATGTCTCCTAGCAATGAAGCAGAGAGAATGAAGATGTCTCGAGTACCGTATGCATCAGCAGTGGGAAGTTTAATGTTTGCCATGATATGTACAAAACCGGACATTGCACAAGCAGTGGGAGCAGTTAGTCGATACATGGCAAATCCTGGTAGAGAGCATTGGAATATTATTAAGAGAATCTTGAGATACATCAAGGGTACCTCAGATGTTGCATTATGTTATGGAAGATCAGAATTTTTGCTGGTGACCTTGAGAAAAGGAAGTCCACTACAGGCTATGATTTTGCAGGAGGAGCTGTGAGCTGGGTTTCTAAACTTCAGACTGTTGTAGCGTTATCCACAACAGAAGCTGAGTACATGGCAGCTACACAAGCTTGTAAAGAAGCAATATGGATGAAGAAACTTATGGAGGAGCTCGGGCACAAACAAGAGAATATTCTTTTGTATTGTGATAGTCAAAGTGCCTTGCATATTGCAAGGAATCCAGCGTTTCATTCAAGAACAAAACACATAGATGTTCAGTATCACTTTGTTCGCGAAGTGGTGGACGATGGAAGTGTGGATTTTCAGAAGATTCACACAAAGAAAAACCCAGCAGATGCTTTAACCAAACCGGTTAACATTGATAAGTATATATGGTGCAGATCCTCTTATGGCCTATCAGAAACGTAAGCAGCATGAAGATAACAAGTATAGAAAGGATAGAAGAAGAACAAATGATCAAGTGTGAAGACTTGATTAAATCATCAAAGTCTTCAAGTGGGAGAATGTGAAATCACCCTAACATTGTTGACAAAGTCAACAATGTTTTGTCAACAATGTTAGGCATAAATTCGGTGTCACCTACCTTGCCCTTGACTTTTGCATGAATGTTTGCCTATAAATAGGCAATGCATCCAAGCATTATACACACCACAAGAGAGAAAGAAGAGAGGGTGAGAAGAGAGTAATCCCATAAAATTATGAGGTATTTGTGAGATAGTAAGTGAGGTGTTTTCACATAATGAACAAAAAAGTTTAAAGAAATGAGATCTATTCCCCACGGCAAAGTGAAGAAAGAGGAGAGATGGTAATATTGTCCCGTAGAAGATACAAGGATGAAGCTTTAAGACAACTTCTCCAAGAATTCTTCCCAGGACAATAAAGAAAAGGACAAAAAAAAAAAGCAGAACCTTAAAAACAGAACCGTTTTTTAGTAAGTTAACTATTGCTAATTGCAGCAAGAGAGCTACAAGCATGATTCTTGCATTCTTAAGTAAAGTCTAATAAGCTAATCAACAAGAAACAAAATTGATTGTTTGGTACATTCTACATGTGGCTCTTCAGAAACTAGTAAGAGACAAGGAAAGGAAAACTATATGAAACAAGCTTCAAATAAACAAGCAATAACAGACACCGGAATGGAAATTGTGGCATATATGATGTAAAACCTGTTCTAGGCCGGCCGCATGTATATGCCATGAAGCAAAAGGTATAATGTGCATAAGATGATTTCCAAGGAACAGCACCTTGCATACCAAAAATGAGCTGTGAATGATCGGTGGGATGCAGGATCAACATTGAGGGCCAGCGAATCTTAAAATCTAATCAACTGACTAATTTCAACTAAATGCCATTTTTCAAATGGCATAAGAATCAATATCACGTAAAGCTTTGGGACTTACTTTTTATGGCTCTGGTCATAAGTTTCGGGTCTATATAGATTTAAAAAGCATTAGTAGAGGGAATAGGATTGAAAAAACAAAAAGACCAATAATAGTGCTCAGATGGTAAACACGGGCAGCAACCTCGGCCTCCACAAGGCTTAAAGAAAAGAACCCAAAGAGAAAATTCAGGAAAGGAAGTTCAAAAGCTTTTTATAGAGAAACCCAGATGATCAGAACTGAGAATGATTGATTGACACCACTTACTCTTTCCTTGAGTGCCAAAGAATTGCATCTAGAACCCCATCAACTCCAATGAGTTTCATTGCAGCTTTAGGATCTGGTCCCTGCATTCAAACACACTGAAGCTGTGTTGTAAATGAAATTTAAACAAACACACAAGCACAAGGATGTGCATATGAATGTATCACGCGATGCACTTACTGAGATTTTTTTTTTTTTTAAAGTGATGCTTTCTTTAATGTCCATTATGCAATATGTGCCTGTCAACCTGAATGTGGAATAGGTGCTTTAATCACAAGAGTGGCTCATGTCCAATGCCTTTAATTGAAGACATTAGGAATTCAATTGATCAAGGCAGAGAAATTCAAAGTTGGTGTAGGAAAGCCTACAACTTAACAACTGATGAAACAGAAATTGTCACAAAACTCTAATGCTGGCTATATGCAAACTCAACACAAAGTTAGTTGGTACATAGAATTTTGGGTGTCTTTGATAACCAAAATGATAGCTGGATAAATGACTGACAGGAGCTGGGCTGTAGGTACTGTATTTGCTGTAAACTAATTGATAACTTAGTGCTACTTCCAGATATTAGAAAGCAACTAGATAAACTATTAAAAAAAAAAGTAAATGTACCATTCAGCATCGTACTGGGATTCCTAGAAATTGCACATTAGGAATTCTCGAGCATTACACCTACGAAACTGCTCCATGATGCACCAATTATTTAAGGCATCTCACCACATAAAGCACTAGATCCTCGCAAATTCTGGATTGGAACTTATTTTCCAACAAACAAAATTAGATCCCTGCATATAGCCTCTCAAGGTAAGTTACTTGGTATGTGCCTCTGAGTTGTTGATGAGCAACTAGCATCTTGAAGGGTGTGAAGAGTGTATAATCTTTGGGACATGGTTCTAGGGTGTGAAGGGTGCCCAGGCAGCTGCTCTCACAGTTGAACCCTTGAATGGCAGCATCATTCTTGCAAGAGGTGGTAAGGCTCCTTGAGATAGCAAAACACATCTCAACTCTTCTCCTTCACCAGCAAAATTTTCCAATGCCCGTGCACACTGTTCAGCCATAGGAAAGGAACTCTTTTCTACACGGAAATGCAACTATAAATGCCAAACCTAAAGTATCATGTTGTGATCCACTAGAGTTTCAAGCAACTATCTGATAAAACAAGGAAAGAAAATTACACACATACCCATGAATTACTAGGCTATAGTTTTCAGAACTATTAAATTTCAAGAAACAAATGTTTTAATTATTGAAGTTAATGTGGCATTTCATTATCACTCGGATTAACCTTATATTGCTGTCCCAGTATGGGTTCACATCACTGAAACCAACATGCTTATAAAGTATTGAGACAAGAAGGCCAAAAAATAATTTCTTGACACTAAAAAGGATACACCAACCATCACAAACCTCCAAGATGTGCAATAAGCAGCGGTAATGCAGGCAGTGATGCTTTTGTTTCTTCTGATTTTCCTGCTGCGATGTTTGTAAGGCTCCGTGCTGCCTCAAGTAACTGCAAATAAGATAGGAATCAGTGTTTGAATTTACATCCTTATTAGAAGCCATGTGTTTTTAAATTTGTTCATAGACCAGGTAGGCAACATAATACTTTCTCTGACAAGCACTGAGCATTCTTTCGACATACATTGCAATTTAAGAAAGAAAAATGTAACTGCTGATAGACTATGAGAACCTAATATGGATAGAGACCTCCCCCCCAACACAGACCCCTTTTAACTGAGGAGAATGGCTCTTTTTAATAATTTAATAGAGCTGAACAATAGCAGGTATGAAAATAGTTAATCAAATTACAGGAACTGCCAAAACAACAACTTTGTACCTGTTCATCTTGAGAGCCAAATGATAGACATTGCACAAACAAGGCAATTGCTCCAGCTTTAAGAGCAGCATAAACAGGAGGGAATTCTGATTTAGACAGCAAACACCTCAGCTTCCGAAGGGCACCAACTAGCTTCTGCATTGCACCTTTTCCCCTAAAGGATCAAGCACAAAGATGCTTCAAACAAATTCCAGAAGAACTTAAGAGGTTAAAAACCCTAAAACAGAATTAAGCATAAAAAAATTCAATGGCATGCATGTTCATGAAAAGAACTGATATGGGCTGAAAACAGAAGGCAGATAGAGCTCAGATACATGTCTCTCAACGCCAAAACCGTTAGGAAGTTCTACATATACATTCCTTAGGATAACATTCATGCTAAGATCACTAACATTAAGCAAATGTTCAAATATTTTCCTGATCCTTAAAGATACATATCCATATGAAAATTCAGCTCCCAATAATAACAGTTTACCTGCATTGAGCTTATCAAATTCTAAATTCAGTTCCAATAATGCCCGTCATTACTACTCTCAACATATCTAACGATTTTATTGGTCATACTTCAATTAACTACATTTCTCATGTCCTCTTGACATGCAAAACAAGCTTCTAATTTAACTTGAGCAGCCATGAATTGAAAGATACCAATCTGCAGATACGACACAGAGCAGTCTGTTAATTAAATTTTATCCCAAAGGAAATTGATACACATGACTCGAGACAACCTTGACGATTAGCACAGTACTAATTAGCATATTCATGATAACAACAGTATTAAAATAGCTAAAGGTTTTGGGAGCAACTGAGCTGTGTGAAAAAATTATAAAAAATTACCCATCGTGCGCGGGGAATTTCTTTTCATTTCATGAACATTCTCCTAAAATCCCTAGTTTTCTTTTAATCGTCTTAAGCTGAGTATAGTTATGCTGCACGAATTAGCACCTTCATAACAATAAATTAATGTTATCCACCAACTGTGTACGATAATGCATAAATATTCACATACTGAAAAACAACGGCGGACTTAAACTCTTGGACTGCCGCCAAGTTTGAGCCTCCAAAATTCATTGCACTTCATAAATCATCATGTCCTTTTCAATAGGAATGCCAGCCACTAGGCCCCATTCTACAAAGACGTTAGCACGAACCAACGATTCTCTCCTTTCCTTACCCACCGCCACCGCATTTTGCCGGCTCTTATTCGCCGCAGCATTCCCAACTACCCACAGCAAAAATAAATGAGCATCCATATCCTTGTGCTGAGTCAAATTAACAATATGTTTAGTTGAAATGATTCTATGAATTTCTTCAAAAAAAAATCTCGGCAACCAAACAGAGCGGTGGAACTGATTTAAGAAAACGGTAAAACTAGTTTATGAGGGAAGAAAAGAAGGGAGAGACAAACCTGAAGACTTGATACGATCTCTTTGGTGAGGAGTTAGCCCATCTTCGGCCACTTTTTCGTTTATTTTTCAGTGAGGTTTTTGAATATGAAGAGAGAAAAAGAAATGATGAGACAGCATAGACAAAACCCCTTCACAAATTGCAGCGATTTTATGGTAAATATGCTAGAACAACTTGGATATTCAATCTAGCTGAGTTCATTCCGGGACGCCATGGGGACAGATGCAGTGAAAAAAGAAATTTGTTTGATTAAAAAAATTTCTTTTTAAAATGATTTTAAATGAATTTTTATTTTTTAAAAATAAAAGGTATAGATAATATATGTTTTCAGAGGTAATATTCATTATTTATTATGTATATAATATTTTTATAAAAAAAACTTTCATTTCTAAAATTATTTAATTAAAAAATATAAAAATAAAAATTATTAATATTATTATAATTTTAAAACTCAACTCGAAATAAATTCAGAATAAAATTAAAATAACAAGTCAAGTTAATTAAGATTAATATAAAAATAAAAAAAATTATTATAATAATTTAAAAATATAATTTGAAAGTCGATCTAAGATACAGTTCAGGTCACAGTTCAGGTCACGAGTAAAGTTGATCATCAACTTAAATTAATAAAACAAATAGTTATTATTATAATTTTAAAATTCAATTCAATAGTTGATCTAAAATAAGACCCGAGACACATGTTAATAAAATTAACCTGAGATGACTCAGATTAATATAAAATAAAGGTTCAAATCATCAAGCGGGAAGATTATCTCGACTGATCATAATTTTTTTTTAAATAATATGTTTTTTATTTTTATTCCATGTTTTATTTCAAATTGACCTATGATTAATTTATCAAGTCATTTCAGCTTTTTATAATTTAGATTGTTATAATATTACTAATTTTAATTAAACCAAAAAAATAAAATATTAAATTATTGTTTTAGATTTGTAAGATCGATGACAATATATACTAACAATAAAAATAATTTTTTATATTTTATTATATCTTGTTTATTGTAACAAAAAAATATATAATAGTTGCATTATCTTATATATCACTATAAAACATAATTTTATTTTTTACTGTCTCTTTTGTTTCTATTTGTTAATGTGAAAATTATAAATAAATATTATAATACATATTAATAAATAATTTGTACAATAAACTCTTGCTTTTTAATGGTAAAATAATTGCACAACTAGCTACATTAAATAGGAATCGCCTTTATCTAATTTTCAATAAGACGATAAAAGGAGGAGAGCGGAAGGAATCCCTTGAAATGTCTGACTTTGACATTAAATTCCTTGCAAAATAAATTTCGAAAAGGTAGAATAAAAATAAGTATGATGATAAAGTAGTCAAAGCATTCAATAAAAAAATATTTATTCTTTTACTTTATCCGATTCTTTTTTCTGAAACAAAACATGATCAACCAACATTTGAGTTTGGATTGAAATTTTACTTCAATTGAAAAGTAAACATATTTTTTATAGTTTCAACACGTCTAATTCTAGCAAACAATTTATTTTTTTTTTAAATATTTTTTATTATTCTTAAAATTAAGATCAATAGGATCAACATTTTTTTTTTATAAAAAAATCATAATATAAAAACAATGAATATAAATAAATTTAAAATTAAGGAAACCATCGAATTGTAGGATCTCAATTCAGACCCATATTAGAGAATGTTTGGTCGTTTTTTTAAAAAAATAATTTTTTTATATATTTTAAATTATTTTGATATACTGATTTTAAAAATATTTTTTAAAAATTAAAAAATATTATTTTAATATATTTTAATATAAATATTTTTATAAAAAAACCACAATTATACTTTTAAATATTCACTAACTAGACGAATATTTATGAACGGTAATATCTTACAAATAAGCCTAATAAATAATTCTATTAATTACTAATATGTATAAAATCAGTTTAGAAAAAACACTAATCTCTCATTGGGAATGATGTAATAAAAGTAATTTTTATATTTTTTAAATATAATTAAATATTTGAAATAATAGTTTTTGTTTAACACTATCTTAAATTTTAAAAGTACCATTTATATCATGTGATAAGGGGTTTAAATTTTATTCTGGTCTTCATCTTTTTTGCTACCTATTATTTCATTTACTAGTTTTTTTTACCTTAATTTTTATTTCTTAAAAAAATATAATAAAAAATGAGTTATGAGAATGGGAAAGTAATTAATTAAGTTATAGAATAATGAAATAAATTTTTACAATACAGTAAGTGTATATATTTAATTGTTTTTAATTCAAATATATTATAAAAAATTCATAATTGTTTTTTTAAAAAATCTGGTTATATATAAAAAATAATTATATTTTCTGAGTCTGTTTAAAAATTTAATTTTAGTTGTTTTTTAAAATATTTTTTTATTAATTAAAAGGGTGCGCTTGCACTTGATCCCCACCCTTTCCGTGTCTCTTTGGGAAGCTTTTAAGAATCTTGATTTGGTTTTTTGGCAAGTTCAACGAAACTACTTGCACGTGTCTCCAATTTCCTGGTTACTCCGCCATAGATCTTTCCTGGATCTTAAAAGCTCTCTACGTGCTCCACACATCCCCTGAAACCAAACGCCCAAGACAGAGAACAAATCTCTCTCAACTCTCCAAAAAAATGCCGAATCCGCCACTTAAAGCTGTGACCCTCACCCACGTACGCTACCAAAAAGGTGACCGATTAGGTCATTTCTTAGCCTGGGTTTCACTAGTTCCTGTCTTCATAAGCGTAGGCGGTTTCTTCACTCACTTCGTATTCCGTCGTGAACTCCATTGCATGTTCTTCGCTTTAGGCCTTATTATTTCCCAATTCATCAACGAAATCATCAAAACATCTGTCCAACAAGCTCGACCTGAAACCTGTGCACTTCTTGAGATGTGTGATTCTCATGGCTGGCCTTCTAGTCACTCTCAGTACATGTTCTTTTTCGCTGTTTATTTCACTTTATTGACAGTTGAAGGAATTGGGTTGTCTCAGGTTAAGAATAAATGGGCTGTTAATTTTTGTCCATGGTCATTAGCTGTTTTGACCATGTTTTCGAGAGTTTATTTAGGGTATCATACGGTTGCCCAGGTTTTTGCTGGAGCTGCTTTAGGGATTTTTCTTGGGGCGTGCTGGTTTTGGGTTGTGAATAATGTAATTTATGAATATTTCCCGGTGATTGAGGAGAGTAAGTTTGGAAGGATGTTTTATGTGAAGGATACTTCGCATATTAAGAATGTTTTGAAGTTTGAGTATGATAATGCAAGAGCTGCTAGAAAGAATATGGCTGACAAGGCTAATTGATCAGGTAATTTCGCTTTTCTGGGTAAGTGTGATTTGATCTTGATTTGCTCCTCTCTCTATTCTTTTTTCTGGATCTTTTGTTGATTGTTTAAATTCTGAATTTTTTCTTTATATGTCATTCGTGCTTACTGTTTATGTTAATTAAGAACACTGATTCGTGAGTTTGGTTGAGATTCTTGATTAGATCAAAAACATCAGGACAGGAAACACACAGAAGGCAAGGGAAATTGTAGACAGTAAAACATGAAAAAATGAAATTAAAGGGGCTTTAGCTCTGGCAAATCTTTCTGTTTTAAGATTTTTATAACCTGAAGAGAATGTTCATGATGTAACGTTAATCTAGTTCACAACAGCTGTACTTTTATTCTTGAAAAACAATTAAAAGGTTAGTGTACTGTTTTATTTGAATTCCTTTATGTATGCAAAATTCACAGAGGAAATTGTTTGTATCTAATATTCTGTTGTGCTTCTTTACAAAAAATGCAAAACAGTAGAATTAACAAATAGCAAGTGATTCCCATCTAAGAAGATGTCCAAATGACTAGGAAAGCTGTTAGCTCCGAATGATTAATTAGAATTCAGGAAAAATAAATAAATTAGACCACGGGAGCAAACTAGAAAGACACAGCTCTATACAATGTTCATGCGAGAAACATTAGTGAAATACTGTCTGACTATGTAAGACAGCATTTTTTCACTACAGAATGTTCTATCCATCATGCTTCACCGTATTGTTGATGACCCTTCCAACTATTGAGAGTTAAACTTGTTGGCTGTTTTGTGTAATTTTTCATGTGTAAGAATTCCACACCCTTTCTTACTGACACCATTTTTGTGATGCTGGATCTTAATGCTAGAAGACGTAATCCTTCTCATCCTTGATTTTCTGTCTTGAAAAACTGATATGGTCCTTGTTTTTCAATCCTGCATTTTAGCTTTTTATAAGGTCCACCTTCCTTGTCACCCACCTGTTTATCTCTTTTCACTGTGATAAACTACTTCTACTCATTGGCTTAATTGATCCATTAGTTAATCTCTTTGTAGAAGTCGATCCATTTTAATCCATTTATATTTATTTATCCCTCAAGTCTCTTCTTCTTTTCGGTGGAAGGTATAAGTTCATCTAGGATAGTCCCATCCCATATGTTTGATCACTCAATGAGAAAGCTTGGGCTTGTAAGCTATGCAATAGAAAAATCTATTCTCTCTTAGAAGAATAAAATGCTATAAAAAAATTAAATGATTTTTATCCTTTCCATAGTTTTTATTGAATGAATTTTGCTTTTCTTCCTTTGCTTATTTCGTGCCCCCCTCTTCACCTGTAAGCTTTTGTTGTGGCCTTAGAGGAAGCTGAGTTTCTCCAGTGTCAAATTCCTACTTTTGCAAGTATTTGTAATGATGAAGTGCCCTTTAGAAGAGAAGGTAGTTGTAGACTATAGTTAAGCAGGGCATGAACCATCGTTGTATATTTTAGGTGATAGGAGATTGTATAGTCGAGCAAACCTAGTGTTGTTTTAGCACAATGTTAGCACCTGTTTTTAATCTCTCATTATTTGGAAGCTGTTGTGAAGAAATGATACCCACAATTAAATTGATGAAGGCTTAAATGTGAGAATGACAGTGTAACTATAGTCTATATGGTAATGGTTCGGAACTTATTCCACTATCTCAAATTGATAGAACATAATTTATTCTACGAAAGTGTTTTTAGTTAAAAAAAAAATTCTATTCAATATTATTTGTTTTTTCTAGGTTTTTATTTGATTTCTAATTTATTTTTTTATATAAATGGTTGTAATAGTCTTTTGGCAAGTGAGACTTGGATGAATACAAATTGAATATTTTAGGTATCTTCCTTATAGTTATGATGTTCTTAGTCTTTGAGGGTTTTGACATGTAACAAACCCTGTTATCCTTTTCTTTTATTTGTGTTAATTGGTATTAGAGTTTAATGATCCTGATGGTTATTTGTTTGTTGTGTGCTGGAATAACCATGTATAAAAAAGGTAGCAAAATAGGATGTGTTTGTGTGGGAAGGGAAGGGAAGGGAAGGGAAGGTTCCCTTTAAGAAAGAGATGTTCAATAATTGGTGATAATTGGTGATAGAAGACATGTATAGACAAATTGCACAATCGAAGATTGCAGAATTGAAAAGAGGTATTTAAAAACCAGTGATAAAAAACATGCAGAGATAGATTGCAAAATTAACCCATTAGTTGGCGGAGGTGAGGAGCCTAAAGTATCATGAGAAGAGTGATCATGACCCATGACTAATTTTGAGAACCCGTTTCAAAGGCATGAGCAGAAGAAACAACTTGTTGAATATGATGTTAAAATTGAAAGTTTTGATAAATCTAGTTTCTTTTTAGATTGGAATCAACCATCAAAACTAGATGAAGATGGTGAAAATGATGTTGAATGGCAAGATTTGGATGTAAAATTTTTGGTTTGTAATGCTCATGAGAAGGGAACCAAATTGTGAAGGACATGTCTCAACTATGCTTGAGGAGAATTTGGAGAATTTTGAAATTGATAGGTTCAAAGTTGACGTTGTTGTACTTCAAATAAAAGTTGTGAAGATATTTCCAAATTTTCTCCTAGCACTAAGATTGGTTTTGTTGTTAGGGAGGCTAAGCTTGGCATATATGATGTTTATAATGGAAAGATTGGGCATGTAAAGGGTTGGGAACTCTTGATTGGATATTCATGAGATCAAGACAAGAACAATTTGAACTCGAGCACGAGTTCTTTCCAACTTGAGGAGACTGATGTCGGAGGATTTTTGGAAAAAGTTATTTGTTTTCTTAGTTATTTTTATTTTTTTTCCTATTTGCTTTAGAAAATTAAATATTATGCATAATAATTTTATTTTTCCTTGTTTGTGTAGGACTTGTATTGCTTTTATTTTCAAGTTTCCTAGTCAATTTATGTTATTTTTTGAGTTTTATTTCAATAGTTAACTTTTAGAGATGCAGACTGCTCGAAGAAAAATATTCAATAATAAAATTACGAATTAAGGTTCTATGTGACAACTATATTTAGCTTCAAAATTATATAGTTCTAGCTTGCTTTGTGTTTCTGTCTGCCTCATATGGTGTCAAACAATTAAGTTGTAGCATGCTCATAGAGTAGTTGAACAGGCTTTCAGGCCAATTATGAGATAACAAGATGGGAATTATTAAAATGATTTTTAGTGTTTGAATCACTAATTAGTTTGCTTGTAGGGTATGGAAACGAATGGTGTTTAGCTGAATGTTGGATAACAAGACAGTAAGAAATAAAATGATATTTCACATGGTTGAATCATTAAGAAACAGCATGCTCTTCGGGTAGTTGAAATAAGTATGTGAACCTGAATGTGTGATAACTTGCATGGTGAACTACGATGATTGCTAAACCTTTGGCTTGTAATCGAGCTCCCGCGGCGCTGTGAAATGGACAGCTGCACCTAGTTATTATAGATACTAAATCAATGCTGGAACCGTGCTTCGGAGGTGTTGTGTGCGTTTGTCTTGCTTGTAAACTGCACAGAAATGATCTAACATTGACTTATTAAACTCTAGTTGCAATTTCTGATTTCCATGCCTTTCAATGAAAATGCCTTATATTGCTCCATTTTGCAGGTTGGTATCTCCAAATATGCATTCAGGATTGTGTTTTTGCTTGCATGGATGACACTATTAAGCAAGTGCAGTTTTTGTTTGAAGCACTCTATTTGGGAGCCAACAAGGGAAGCCAACTAGAAGGACCAGCATTTAGAGGATATTTGGTATTATGGTAGTTTTTGTGATTATGGTTTGAAGAAGATTGTTTTATAAAAAATATTTTTAATTGAAGTTGGTTTGATATTTATATATGTTCAGTTAAAATTATGGTTAAAATTAAAATTAAAAAAAAAGTAGTTTAATATTTTTGGTTAAGAATACTTTTTAAATTGAGGTTATATATATATATATATATATATATATATATTAATGATTTTAAATTTAAATATTATAAATTTAATCACTACTATTATATTATATCATGAAATAAAAAATATTTTTTATTGGATTATTAAATTGTCTATAATTCTATTACGTATAAAATTTATCTAACAAACATTATAATTTTTTTAATTTTTTAAGTGTGTAATAAAATTAGATAAATATTATTAGGAATAAAATTGATATTATAATATGGTAAATTTAATTTACTCTAAATTAATTTTTAAAAAAATAAAAAAATTAATATTTATTTTTATATGAGCAGTGAAAGTCAAATTAATTTATTATACTAGTTTTTAAAAAATACTATTAACTTGAACAATATAAGAAAATTAAAATTTATTGCACTAGCTTTAAAAATAAAAATATTATTCATCAAAGTTAACAGTGTGTGTGATGTGTGAGTGAATTAATAGTGAAATACTGTCTGACTATGTAAGACAGCATTTTTTCACTACAGAATGTTCTATCCATCATGCTTCACCGTATTGTTGATGACCCTTCCAACTATTGAGAGTTAAACTTGTTGGCTGTTTTGTGTAATTTTTCATGTGTAAGAATTCCACACCCTTTCTTACTGACACCATTTTTGTGATGCTGGATCTTAATGCTAGAAGACGTAATCCTTCTCATCCTTGATTTTCTGTCTTGAAAAACTGATATGGTCCTTGTTTTTCAATCCTGCATTTTAGCTTTTTATAAGGTCCACCTTCCTTGTCACCCACCTGTTTATCTCTTTTCACTGTGATAAACTACTTCTACTCATTGGCTTAATTGATCCATTAGTTAATCTCTTTGTAGAAGTCGATCCATTTTAATCCATTTATATTTATTTATCCCTCAAGTCTCTTCTTCTTTTCGGTGGAAGGTATAAGTTCATCTAGGATAGTCCCATCCCATATGTTTGATCACTCAATGAGAAAGCTTGGGCTTGTAAGCTATGCAATAGAAAAATCTATTCTTTCTCTTAGAAGAATAAAATGCTATAAAAGAATTAAATGATTTTTATCCTTTCCATAGTTTTTATTGAATGAATTTTGCTTTTCTTCCTTTGCTTATTTCGTGCCCCCCTCTTCACCTGTAAGCTTTTGTTGTGGCCTTAGAGGAAGCTGAGTTTCTCCAGTGTCAAATTCCTACTTTTGCAAGTATTTGTAATGATGAAGTGCCCTTTAGAAGAGAAGGTAGTTGTAGACTATAGTTAAGCAGGGCATGAACCATCGTTGTATATTTTAGGTGATAGGAGATTGTATAGTCGAGCAAACCTAGTGTTGTTTTAGCACAATGTTAGCACCTGTTTTTAATCTCTCATTATTTGGAAGCTGTTGTGAAGAAATGATACCCACAATTAAATTGATGAAGGCTTAAATGTGAGAATGACAGTGTAACTATAGTCTATATGGTAATGGTTCGGAACTTATTCCACTATCTCAAATTGATAGAACATAATTTATTCTACGAAAGTGTTTTTAGTTAAAAAAAAAATTCTATTCAATATTATTTGTTTTTTCTAGGTTTTTATTTGATTTCTAATTTATTTTTTTATATAAATGGTTGTAATAGTCTTTTGGCAAGTGAGACTTGGATGAATACAAATTGAATATTTTAGGTATCTTCCTTATAGTTATGATGTTCTTAGTCTTTGAGGGTTTTGACATGTAACAAACCCTGTTATCCTTTTCTTTTATTTGTGTTAATTGGTATTAGAGTTTAATGATCCTGATGGTTATTTGTTTGTTGTGTGCTGGAATAACCATGTATAAAAAAGGTAGCAAAATAGGATGTGTTTGTGTGGGAAGGGAAGGGAAGGGAAGGGAAGGTTCCCTTTAAGAAAGAGATGTTCAATAATTGGTGATAATTGGTGATAGAAGACATGTATAGACAAATTGCACAATCGAAGATTGCAGAATTGAAAAGAGGTATTTAAAAACCAGTGATAAAAAACATGCAGAGATAGATTGCAAAATTAACCCATTAGTTGGCGGAGGTGAGGAGCCTAAAGTATCATGAGAAGAGTGATCATGACCCATGACTAATTTTGAGAACCCGTTTCAAAGGCATGAGCAGAAGAAACAACTTGTTGAATATGATGTTAAAATTGAAAGTTTTGATAAATCTAGTTTCTTTTTAGATTGGAATCAACCATCAAAACTAGATGAAGATGGTGAAAATGATGTTGAATGGCAAGATTTGGATGTAAAATTTTTGGTTTGTAATGCTCATGAGAAGGGAACCAAATTGTGAAGGACATGTCTCAACTATGCTTGAGGAGAATTTGGAGAATTTTGAAATTGATAGGTTCAAAGTTGACGTTGTTGTACTTCAAATAAAAGTTGTGAAGATATTTCCAAATTTTCTCCTAGCACTAAGATTGGTTTTGTTGGTAGGGAGGCTAAGCTTGGCATATATGATGTTTATAATGGAAAGATTGGGTATGTAAAGGGTTGGAAACTCTTGATTGGATATTCATGAGATCAAGACAAGAACAATTTGAACTCGAGCACGAGTTCTTTCCAACCTGAGGAGACTGATGTCGGAGGATTTTTGGAAAAAGTTATTTGTTTTCTTAGTTATTTTTATTTTTTTTCCTATTTGCTTTAGAAAATTAAATATTATGCATAATAATTTTATTTTTCCTTGTTTGTTTAGGACTTGTATTGCTTTTATTTTCAAGTTTCCTAGTCAATTTATGTTATTTTTTGAGTTTTATTTCAATAGTTAACTTTTAGAGATGCAGACTGCTCGAAGAAAAATATTCAATAATAAAATTACGAATTAAGGTTCTATGTGACAACTATATTTAGCTTCAAAATTATATAGTTCTAGCTTGCTTTGTGTTTCTGTCTGC